CTTTCACGATGTATACCCTGCTATATACAAATCAAATAAAGAAATGATGTTTACCTACAAAAAAAAAAAAAAAAAAAGATTTAAGATTTTTATAAAACTTGAAAAATGCATTTATTAATAGACTCTTCTAGAATTTTAAATTTTGAGAGAAAATAAAAGAATATATTTTTTTAATAAAATTTTTCTTTTTAGTAAAATGTTTTTACTATAATCAAATAAATAAGTTTTGGATATTTTATTACTAATATATTCAAAAAGATATTAAAAAAAATTATAAACAAGTGAGAGAAACTTTTGTTTTCAAAAATATGTGTTGTTAAAAAAAGTGTTTAGACTTTATTATTGAAAAATAAAAAAAAAATTTTCAAAAAAGTTTATTTTTGGATTGGCAAAAGAATTTGTAGAAAGAGTTTTTACTATTAATATTTCTCATACAATTATAAAATTAAAAATTATTAATATAAATATATATATATTTAATAAATATATTAATATAAATTATTAAATCTAAGAATTTGATTATTATTTAAATAAAGTATAATTTTAAATATATATTATTTTTGAAAATACTATTTGTATCTATATAATGTGCAATATGTTGTATTATATATATTATATAATTAAATTAATAAAAAGCATTATTATTAATTAAAAAAAAATTAAAATTCTTTATTTAAATATTTGGATCCTGATCTATCAAAAAGGTGGTTATTATTTTGGTTACACAGATTTTTTTTTGTGTAAACATGTTTTCTGTAGAGAAAACTGCTAAAAATATGCTTATGCAAAAAAATTTTTGTGTAACCAAAATGATAACCACCTTTTTGATAGATCAGGATCCATTTGTATAAAATAAATTATTTTTTGTGATAGCAGTTCATGATGTTAAAAACTTAACAAGTGCTATGATTATTCATTGCAAATATAACAATATAATATTTGTTTTCATTATATACAATTTGTTTAAAAAAATCTTTGAACAAATATTTATTTATATTCTTATTTGTAATTTAATAATAACTAATAAAATATAAAAAATACTTAAAAAAATAGTGAATTATCAAAAAAAGGTAATTATGATCTTGCAACGATAAGGTATCAGTGCATTGATTTCTTGTTTTTAGATAACTATGCCGTGATGATTTTACCGAGTGCGATTAGGGTGTTGGGCTACTTTAACTTTCCATCAAGTGCAAAGACTCTTCACGTCTATCACATGATCCTGCTATTGTCGAGAAGGTTCCAAAAGAGTCAATTATACTACAATATACGTGAACCATTATCGACATTTTTTTATTCATTTATCATTGATAACGCATTTTAATTCCAGGATTGCTGAAGGATATATTAAACGATCTTTGATTTTACTAAAGTAATCAGAAAAGGAAGACAAATCATTTTTATAGGTGTAGTACTGCATTTATTTATCGAAGCTCCCGCATGTAAATAAAATTTTAAATTTTACTTTGACAATCATCACGAGTACAAACTTGCATCTTGTCACATGCTTAACATCACGTTTCTCAACAAAGTTTGGCGCAGCATATCAAATAAATTTTCCGGCAATCAGATAATAATTACCTTTACATGCAGAATGCGAATTCTATACATTATCGTACTTGTGTTAAGCATAATAAATTTATCGCACATGGGCGAAATGGAATGTTATAAAAAGTAAACGTAGTATTTTATATGGTAGGCAGAAATTCTTGAAATATAGGATGGGAAATTTGTTTCAAGCAGATCGAATCCAAAGAAATCATCACGTAGTTACAGTATAGTGATAGGAAGATTTTAGTTGAAGAAAATATTTTGAAACTTGAGGGAGCAAAGAAATAACTTATGCTGGGACCCGCATTAAATGACATATGTCTGCGTACTCCTCTTTGCATCAAAAAAGTTGCGTAACAGTAAAATCCCATTTTTTTGTACAAGTATTTATAAAGTTATCCAATACAAACATGAATAATGAGAACGCGCGTTGGAAGTAGATTTCTTATGATGGAATATTTTTTTTGTAAAGGATCTTGAAAAAAAAATTTTTTTTTGTTTGGCTGACAGTAATTTCGTTAAACAGTTGGCATCACGATGTTATTTGTTTCGAGTCCATAGCCAGGCCAAGTTGCGCCAGAATCTTTCTTTAGTTGAGTCTGAGAATGTGCTCTGTTATGGTCTCGTTATTAATTTCTTGAAGTGCTGGGTTGAGTTTAAATTCCCGATTGATGAGTCCTTGGGTTGTTGTTTAAAAGTGTTGTAACAAATCTTTTAGCAAGAAAAGAATTCATTCGATATTAAAAAAATAGACTAGTTAATACTTGAATACCTTCTTTAATATATAATTTTTAAAGATGAAATATAGTTGCTTTCTTTTATTCCCAGCTTTAACGAAAAAATTAAGATTATTGCTTATGATTTTTTGATAATATTATTAATGTCATACAATAATTTTTTTATTAACCACCCACCAACAAAACCAGAATTAATTTAAAAAAATTTTTTTAAAATTTATTTTAGCAATTTTTTTTTATATACAGTATATTTTTATATTTTTATATACAGTATATTATTATATTTTTATATACTGTATATATTATTATATTTTCAAGTTATTTGATTTCATTATTTTATAATGAAAATGTGGGATTAAGGAGCTTGTTGAAATAAGAAGACGGTTTATAAAATAAAATTTGGAAGGTTTTTAAAAACAGTATTATGCAGTACACGATATATCATATCATATGTCTCTTTATTGACGCAAAAAAAAAAAATTTTCTCATTGAAATACCCAAAATCGAATATGGCGTTTGTTTATGTATACTTAATAGGTTTTGAGATACGGCATGCATTGGACAAAGAATAAATAAATAAATAACCTTGATAAAGCAATGTCGATGAGAATCGGATTCGAATCGATGATGACTAGTGAGTCGTTGGGAAATTACATAATTCAGACAAAAAAGAAAACGGAATTTAACGTTTTAAAAAAATTTTTTTCCCAGCAAAATTTTTTTGGAGAAATTCTTTTCTTTGCAAGGTCGTTATTAGGTTAGCAAGGAGAGATTATTAAATGTTGAGATGTACACAAAAAATCTCAGCCGGTCAAAATGTCGTAATCACAATTGAAAAACCTTATCTCAGTATGTAACTTTGAGTTAATAAAAACAGTTGGATACATCACATTAACCTAATATTCTATTTAGAAAACGTAATATTTATTTCATAGCGGCAATCCTATTGGTAATTGTTTATTAGCACAAAGAAGGTTATTCCTTTTTCATATGCCATTTATTCAATGAGCAAAAATTTATAACAAAATATGTGATTCCCGAAAAGTAACTCTAGAAACCATTGCAATTTAAATCATTTCCAATTAAGGACACTAAATTACATTGTCCCGTGGATCGCTTACGCAGTACACAACGTCCGGGTCCTTTTATATCCACACCAGAGAGAATCAAACAAAATTTACATGCAAACGAACATCTTTCTAATCTTCGCCAATTTTCTGTATAAGATTCCCTAGTTGTGTCAGGTATAAATAGGAATAATAGTTAACTAATAGAAAATCTTCTGCTCTGGCATATTATTCATATGCATATTATTATTTCAAGTGCTTGCGCTAACAGAATTTCTTTTATTTAGAACGATTAATTGGGCCTCCTTCTATATTTGATTACCTTCAGTCTCCAGGGTTAATAAGAGCTGGCATCTTTTTTTATAAATCGACGTTGAAGAGTTATCCCTTTTAATTTTTCCCATTGATTATATATCATCCGTCGTAAGTAAGACAACTCTGTTGACCTTCACATAACTCTCCTTCAGAAAGGTCATAATAATAATATCTTTTGGAAAAAATGTCAGTTACACCATACCCACCACCTCACCGCAATCCAACGATGATGCAAACTCCACATGCTTACGATGCGACACTCTCATCGAAGACGTCGTCACCACCGTCCGCTACCAAATACACATATATTCGAGGAGAGAATGGTGCAATAACCGTCTTCCATCAACCCACCAAAGCGTTGGTGTACTACATGTTTACTCCATCCCTAAACAGTCCTAATGTATCCATAATTGACAAGCACACCTCGGGTGTTATATGGAATGCAAAAGTCTCTTCCGCCGCTGATATTTCCGGCGGAGATGGTACCAAGATTAAACCCACCGCAAATTGGGAGTGTAAATATACCGGTGAAAATAAGGAGAGTCCCATTTATTCACATAAAACAATAATCAAGTTCGAGAAATCGCTGAAAGGTTACGTGTGCTCGTGGAATGGTCGAGTGTTCTTGTGGAAATTATATGGTAGTGGAGGTGATATTTACTGTGTGGAAGGACTGAGCGGTATCGGCGAAAGAGTTGCACAGTTTGAAGATAAATCGAACACATTGATGATTGATTTGAGTCGATACTCTGTCGGCAAATATAAGAGTGATAATGGTGTGGAATCGTTGAAATCATTTGAGTCCTTTATTTTGTTGACGGGATTGATAGCGAAAAACTCGGCCAAGAAATTGCAATCCACCGTCAATCGAATGAGCGCCAATTTTACCGATGCCCATTTGTTCAACTATTCCGGTTTATTTTTCTTCTGCGGTCTGTGTGGAACATTTTAATTCCAATGAAGATATGGTATAGTGGAAACTGGGTCACTTTTCCCTCCTAAATTTGTTGATTCTATTATTACTTTTATTCACATAATTGGTATATTTCATCTCAATAAAGCCTTATATCGTGTAGTAATTATATATATATTGTTTGGCATAGCTTCTGTGCCAAATTTATTACTTAAATGACGTTGGGATAAAAGCGGCGGGTAGCTAATAATTAAATAATTTAACGAGATGCAATAACTATGTGTACACTTCTCGAATCTATCAAATCTAAAGCAGATCCAAGATTAAGTAGATTAGGCACAGTGTGAAATGTACATTTCTTTCTTTCTTTCCTTCCTTTCTTTTGTAAACAATCTTAAACACTAATTCCAGTACTTTTCCATCAGCAACTTCACTTACCAACCTAGATTTAAGCAATAATGTTTGACTGATTAATTTCACTTAGTCAATTAATGTATATATATATTAGAATTTTTACATAATGTCGATGATTGCTTGAAAGATCTATCGAAACATTCTCAGGTATGCTACGAAAATAAAGAAATTTAGTCAATAAATTCAATAAACCTGAAAGAGATGGATAGGCACTGAATTTACCTAAAATCAATGCTCCAGCACCCGTCAATGTACCTGTAATATATTTATTATACGTGAAGGATTATTGATCAATACGTGATAAATAAATAATGTATAACCAACCATCCCAAAATACTGTACTTGCCAATCATGTACTGTAGGGTCTGAAATTTAATGGATTCCATCTGAGTTCTTAAATTACTGATTTCACTTTCAAATCGTGTGTCAGTTTCCTTTAACTTCATCTCCAACATACTTGATTCATCTCTTATCCTGCCTTTCTCCAAATTGAGTTCTAGCCTGGTACTGGCTTGCGTTCTCTTGATCTCCTCTCCGAGCCTCTGCTTAAGTTTTTCTACCTCCGCCACCAACTTCTCGTTGTCCGACTTTAGAATTGAGAAATCATTTTTTTCTAGCATTTGAATCTCGGATTTTAATTGAGCAAAATCCACTTTGGTTGTGTACAAGGCCTGACCAAGATTATTTAATTACCATTACATTAATAATTGATAGATGTGAATCCATTCTGCTGACTCTCACACGGTGTTGATTAAACTAATCGACTACCTACTTTTTCCTGATCAGCTTTGGTTACCATATTTCTAGTTAAATACTGCATACTTTAAAAGATTAATATAATTAAATTAGTACCGATCGAGAAACAAAGATCATTATGTAATGGAATTTGAAAATAATACTCACCTTTCATCTATAACTTCCGATAAAGAATTCATTATCGCTTCGCTTTGCTGTCGGGTAAATCCTTCCGATTCTAGCTTTTGAACAAATAGACTCGTGTCGAATAAGTTTTTTTGAAGTTTCGTCATCGACGTTTCGACAAATGTTCTTTTGTTATTTTGTCGTAGACATTGTTGGTGTTTTACCGTCACCGAGAAGCTCGGTAGAATGTTCCGATTGACTGTAGAAAAGGGAAAGTGAGGTTGACAAAGAAAATTTCTAGAGTTCGCAAAAAGATATGCACTGATCGAATTAATCAATATAATACCATCAATCTGTATTCGAGGATTGAATAAACATCGAAACTTTGATGACATCATTTCTTTAGAATCTGGCTTTTCGAGCAAATCTTGAGTTTAGATATCGGTTATTCAATCGTCATTTGTGACACGTGATCTTACACAAGTGACTGATATACTGTAATTTATTTAATTTGATTATTATTTTTTTATTTATTTATTTTTACTTTATCAGAAACTTTTTAATAAAAAATATCAAAACTATTTGAAAAAATATTTTGCTGCTTAAAAAAATATAAACAAATTAATTCAACATATAAAAAAATTTTAAATTAAAATTTTAAAATCAAGTTTTTTTTATTATAAAATTTCATATACAACTAATTATACAAGCTAAAAAACATTTTTTTTCTTTTTTTGTAATTTTTTTTTTTAAAAATTAGTTTATTAATTTGTTAATATACAATATTATATTTTTATTTTATTTAAATATATAAATCTATATGGATAAAAATATATCCAATAATATATATACTGTATATATATAATAGTTTACTAAAATAGTAATTTACTATTTTAGTAAATTATCATATTTCTTAAATCATAGAATATTATTTTTATAACATTTAATATTTTTTAAAAAATTTATATAATATTAGTTTTAATTATATATTACTTATTAATGATATTTTTTTATTTTTTTATTTAATAAAAATTTAAAGTTTAATAATAAGCAAAAATTTTAATTTTTAAAATAATTTTTTTTAATAAAAATTGATCTTAAATAATTTTAAAAAAATTTTTTTAAGTTAAATTTATATAATTAATAAATAGTTTTGTAGAATTATTTATAAAGAATAACTTTAATTACAATTTTAATAATTTAATTATAAAAATTTTTAACTTGTATTAAAAGTAAAATAATTTTTTACTTTAAATATATATTGAGTTTTTTATAATTTTTTATATTAAAATTTTAAACATAAAGTTTAAAGTTATTTATTTTAAAAATTTTCAATAAAAATTTAATTTTTTTACTTAATAAAGTTAATTTAAACTATATTTTTTATAATATAAATAAGTTATAAAAATTAATAATTAAAATTTTATTAAAATTTTAAAAATATAAACAAATTTGTCTACATTATAATTTAAAAAATATAAAAAGTATCTTGTCTATTTGATAAAATATTGTGATTTGTTTTGAATAACTCTTTTATTTAAAATAACTTTTATTTCATATTTTTCTATTTTGGTTTCAAAGATATAAATAGCTGATAATAGTTTTGATCTTTTAAATTTTTCTGATAATAACTTGTATAGTTTAAGTAGTAAAATATAAAATTTAAAATTTAAAATGAATCTTTAAAATAGTAAGTAATTTTAACTTGCATATAATTTTTAAAATTATTTTAATAATAAATTTTTTTTTTTTTAAACTAGCTTAACCTTGCTTAGCAAACTTTATTAAAGTCAATATTTACATATATTTGTATACATTTCTGTATATAAACTATGTTATAACATTAATTGATAAGTGTATACTAAACTATATTGAGGTTTCCTAAATATCAGCTGTTGCTATCAACTTTTCCTAATGGATAGAGGTTGAAACTAATGTGCCAAGGCATTGCTATTGTTAATGTTACTAGTATATAAATAGAAAAAATTGTTTCTTATCATTTTGTCCATGTTTTTAACCCATCTTTCCAGCAATTTCCTTTCCAGGTTCTTTTTCTTATTTGCTGTTATTTCTTCTTTTTCCCTGTCTCTTTCAATTTCTATTTGATATGATCTGTGTCTCTGCTTTTTTTTGTCCACTCTGCTAATGTTGTTTATCTCTTTCTATTCTGTGATCTCTTTACATCTTTTTTTATATGGTTTGTTGATTACTTTTATTGTTCTCTTAATAATTCTTCTGCATACTTCTTTTGTTTTTTCCCTTGCAAATTGATATATATATCGGGTTATCTCTTTGATCAGAATTCCCCTTACTATATAGTTTCTTATGCACTCTGAGTTCATGATTAATGGCATTTTTAGTTTTGAGTCTTCTTTCTCTTTCCCTTTGTTGCAATTTCTTTGGCACCATTTGGTTTCTTCTTTTATTATCTTTTTATATTTATTTATTATCTAGTATTGCCAGTGTTTGTACATTAAGTGCTCTAGGCTTTCTCTTTTCTTGTATTCTAAGCATTTGTTTGATTTGTAGTTATTAAAAGTATTGTTTTTTATAAAAACTATTTTATATGTTAATTCAATAGGCATTGAGATTGTAATCTCCTTATAAAGGTATTATGGTATAATTATTGTTTAGTTAATGTTATAATGATTGCCAAAAGTTATAAGATATATAAGATATTGACCTGTGGGTCTATAGTGTAGTGGTTAACACTCCACAGGTCAAATCACAAGATATCAGTTCAACCCCATGTGAGG